GTGACGAGTTGAGTCGATTTAGATATGTCGATCTGTATTTAAGCGAATTAGTCCCTCAGTGTTTGAGATATGATCTAACATTTTGTGTATGTTCTTTTTTACACAAGAAGATTTCTCGTTAAACGAAAAAGTTTTCCATGCAAGCACTTGATTCTGCTCGTTCAGTTCGTATGACAGTTATATGCTATAGGCGATTCTCACAAATGTGCAGCTTGTTGAAGAGAAAAGAACATGTGCAAAATTTCAGATCCATATCTCAAAAACTGAAGACAGACGGACATGGCTAAATCGACTTAGCTAGTCACGCTGACCATTTACATATATATTTTATAGGGTCTCTGACGTTTTCTTATGTGTGTTGAAAGCAACGTGGCAAACTTAATACTCGTATACCCTGTTCAAGGTGTAAAAATAGACAGAAACCAATTAAAAGGCTATAAACGGAAAACTTCAAAATATTTTTTTTTAACGCAAAGTGTTCTCGTCTTTTATTAATCAAACACTTAATTCAGTTCATACGAATTCGCCAACAGATAAGGAATAATTTTTTAAGAATGCTTAGTCAATTAATATATGCTATTGTTTTCATTACGGTGAAAATAAAAAACTTAGCTACTTCACCGAAAGCCGACTTTCTCTTCTTTGTTGTTTTCTGAAAGACATTTTAATATGTACTAATTTTGGATTTTTACTACCGTTGATTTGTTTTTGATTATTTTTCAAGCATTTCTGTCACTGCTAATAATAGCTATTAATTTCAGTTAGTTTATTATCAGTTTGGTCTTTAGATTATGTCAAAGCCAATAGCGCCGATGATATAGATATGTATATCGGTTCCATTCATTTGGAGCAGTGTGGTATATGTAGTGGAGGCTAGACGCCAGTAAACTGATTATTATTTTTTATTTTTATTTAATTTAGTGCTTAATATTTCCGAACACTTAACGCTGATAGTAAATGAAGCAAAAAGATTTCTTAGCAAAAAGATTAATGGTATAAGGATTAGTTTTAGATTAGGTATACTATTAGTAAAGATTTTTTTATAAAATATTTATCTAAGTTTGACTATTATCTACTAAAGAATGTTGCGAGTAAGAAGAACATAAGTTTTCGATATTCAAAATTATTAATCAGAGAATGATGCTCACGCGATGTACTCGGTATGCAAATATATATGACTTATATAAAATATATATACACAAAGTTATATGGATATATATATTTAAACCAAGAGATTCCTGATAAAGGAGATCGGAGTGTAAAGCCTTCCAACATAAAATATGATATTTTGTGTATGGAACTCGAGAAAAACGAGACTATTTTATTTGTGATTTTCTAGGTCGTTTTAGTATATTCATAACTTAAATCATTTTTTTTTAAATTTAAATTTAATTATCGGAGAAATAAGATTACGAAAAAATTTCGATTTTTGAAGCCACCCCTTAGTGTAATAACTTTCACAAAAATGGACATTTTTTTTAAAGCCGCCATTTTGACAAAAATAAAAATTTTGACTAGTCCTAAGATCATTACCTGATCTCATCTATAATAATATTTTTTTAGTTTTTGGAGTTGTGATTAAGCATAAAGTCTTGCTCAACGCCAGGCACCGCTTTTCGGAGGTTCTCCTGGAAATCGACTACGGGAACCAGCGAACCAAATAATTTTAAAAGTCAATCATCAATTAAAAAAGTAGAGTGAGTATTGCAAATGCATATTTCTTTATCTCCCTTTTTTTATATTTCTTAAAAAAATTACAAAAAAATAAGTTTTTTTTTACTTGTAGGTGAATATAAAAGAGTACGTAAAAGTATATTTTATTAGCAGCTGCTAAATTCTACCTTTTTTTTAATTTACTCAAGTATGAGTAACGTATATTGATAATCTAACCACCGATCCTCCTTTATTTAGCGGTAATCTTTAAACAAATATCATATACAAGTCATTTATTTGCCGTGCAAACAATACTAAATTTATTTACCCATTAAATATTTAACATTTGGTTGTAAAAAGACACCCGATATTTCAACCAGCAAATATTTATTCAAGTCAATAAAAGATATATACCTATATCTATATATATGTATGAACGTAAATTACTCTATGACTTTGCGGCGATAATACTGCTATAGAATTATGGGCAGAAGAGATACTGGCTGTCGAGTAGTTGGTATGTGGGTAAATTAACAAGATAACGCAGTTTTTATTTCCGGCAAATTATATACCTTTGTACATATATGAAGGTACGTAATATAATAGTCGACATATATTGCCAGAGCTGGTAAATAATATTAAAGTTTTTAATGAAAAATATAACAATTTTTTTTTCAATTAATTGCATCTACTTTATATTTTGCGAAATAGAACACGTGATTTGGTGTGTGAACTTTTGCCCGCGTTTGGTATATATCACCTGGGAGGGTATCAATTAGTTTCTTTTTGGATCTTTTGTGCAATTTTATGTAAAGTGAATAATTGTAGACTCCCCAGCTTTAAGGCTCGACCTTTAGGATTCTATAACCTAATAGAGGGTGCGTCTTAAACGTTCACCGGTACAACTTATATGCGAATTTAGTAAACCAATACTCTGTATACTGGTACATTTTGTGAGTTAAACCTTCTAGTGAATCAGACTGTCTGGCAACGATGAGTGTCCAAGTAATTAAAGCTCAAAGCTCATCGCGCTTACTTATTTCACTCTTTTGAATTATAACGATTTACATGCGAAAGTTTATGAAATCGGGCTTCGTTTTAGTTAAGACTAGTCACAAAAAGTCACGTTGCTAGTTTTAAATAGTTAGTTGAAATACATTTTGCATTGCGCTTAAGTAAAGAAAGCTTTTATGTAGCGCTAACGTATTTAAATATCTACAATTTTATTTATTGTCCATAGCTGTCACTTGTTTCATTAAAACGGAAGAAAGTGTCACTGAAATGTTTAAAACATTAGCTTGAATGCCGCAAAACTATACACAAAGGCGAGTATAAAAGGCGAAAGAAATGATAGCCAAATACAGTATCTGTGAAATTTTCACAAGCGCCGGGTAACGAGGCTGAGAATATATCCTAAAATAGCTCCTAAAGTAAAAGTGAAAATGTGTGCTTGTAAATTATTGCTCCTTTCGGTTTGCTTAATAACGCCGTTTTGCATCGAATGTGAAGATTCTTTGATGGTGGAGAAGACAAAATTATGCTCTTCGTATTATAATCGAAAAATCGAAGCTGCGCAACACGCAATTCAGAGTACAATTGAAAGCTGTAGTGACAGCGATTTGTTTTGTAAACATATCGCAAATAAAGAATTCTTATTACAAAAGGCACAAATCGAAAAAGAATTGGAGTACTGTAAGAGAGCAGAATGCGATAAAATGTTTACAGTATTAGGCGAGCAAACTGTGAAGAACCGACTAATGCGGGCATATTGTGAAAAATTCATCGTGTTCCATGGCGCTCGAAAGCGTAGGAGTACTACTTTCAGTTCGGAAGATTCCGATGCAAGTGATGTGTGGTCAGCGTCCGAAGAAGCGAGTGACACAATGAGCAATTCCGAATCACTTGATATGAGCTACAGTGATTCTTCGTTCTATAGCGTATCGAGTGTTGTATCATGCGAGTCTGAATCTCGAACTGCTGATAGTGACATATCATTTAATAGCGGATCAATCAGTTCTAGCGATTTTACAGATGAAAGTTGGGAGTCTTCAGAGTCTAAAAGTTGGGAATTGGGTCTTGGGTCTGAAACTGATGAAAGTTCAGAGTCTGAGACTGACGAATCATCCGATTGTGAAAATTGGAAATCTTCAAATTGCGAAACCGATGAAAGCTCACAGTACATAACTGATGAGATTTCGGAGTCTGAATCTGAAATTTCGCTCTCTTCAGATTCCGAAACTGACGAAAATACAATATACAAAACTAACGAATTTTCTGAGTCAGAAAGCTCGACATCTTCAGAATCAGAAATTGATGAAACTTTAGAGTGCAAATCAGAAACGTCTTCAGAATCCGAAATCTCAGAGAAGTCAACTGAAACTGAAGAGCTCCGCGAGTCATCATCTTCATCAGAAACTGAGGAATCAAGATCTATCAGCAAAGAAATCCCCACAATTTTTACAACAACCACGTCAACATCCTTCACTACAAAGCTTACAAATAATCCCACCACTTTCCCCACAGAAACTCAATTTAAAACAAATCCTGATGTATCCCACACGACTGATACTTTCACAAAAACATCTGAAAGAAGAGAATTTTCTACCACAACCGAATCCGACACAACTACTCATATATCATTGAAAACAGAGGTAGCAAATATTTTCACCACTACTTCTGGAGAAACACCTTCAACCACAAATCCTGATGCTTCCCACTTTACGACTGAAAGTTCCACAAGAGTATCTCAAATAGGTGAATTTTCAACCACAACCGAATCTGAAGCAACCACATCAACATCCGTGCAATCTGAGCCAGCAAACATTTCCACCACTTCTTCAGGAGAAACTCCTTCGACCACAAATTCTGATGCTTCACACTATACGACTGAAAGTTCCACAAGAGTATCTCAAATAGGTGAATTTTCAACCACAACCGAATCTGACGCAACCACATCAACATCCGTGCAATCTGAGCCAGCAAATATTTCCACCACTTCTTCAGGAGAAACTCCTTCGACCACAAATTCTGATGCTTCACACTATACGACTGAAAGTTCCACAACAGTATCTCAAATAGGTGAATTTTCAACCACAACCGAGTCTGCGCAACACATCAACATCCGTGCAATCTGAGCCAGCAAATATTTCCACCACTTCTTCAGGAGAAACTCCTTCGACCACAAATTCTGATGCTTCACACTATACGACTGAAAGTTCCACAACAGTATCTCAAAAAGGTGAATTTCAACCACAACCGATCTGCGCAACCACATCACATCCGTCAATCTGAGCCAACAAATATTTCCACCACTTCTTCAGGAGAAACTCCTTCGACCACAAATTCTGATGCTTCACATCTATACGACTGAAGTTCCACAAAGTATCTCAAAAGGTGAATTTTCAACCACAACCGAGCCTGTCGCAACCACATCAACATCCGTGCAATCTGAGCCAACAAATATTTCCACCACTTCTTCAGGAGAAACTCCTTCGACCACAAATTCTGATGCTTCACACTATACGACTGAAAGTTCCACAACAGTATCTCAAATAGGTGAATTTTCAACCACAACCGAGTCTGTCGCAACCACATCAACATCCGTGCAATCTGAGCCAGCAATATTTTTCACCACTTCTTCAGGAGAAACTCCTTCGACCACAAATTCTGATGCTTCACCTATACGACTGAAAGTTCCACAAAGTATCTCAAAAAGGTGATTTCACCACAACCGATCTGCGCAACCACATCAACATCCGTCAATCTGAGCCAACAAATATTTCCACCACTTCTTCAGGAGAAACTCCTTCGACCACAATTCTGATGCTTCACACTACGACTGAAAGTTCCACAAGTATCTCAAAAGGTGAATTTTCAACCACAACCGACCTGCGCAACCACATCAACATCCGTGCAATCTGAGCCACAAATATTTCCACCACTTCTTCAGGAGAAACTCCTTCGACCACAAATTCTGATGCTTCACACTATACGACTGAAAGTTCCACAACAGTATCTCAAAAAGGTGAATTTTCAACCACAACCGAGTCTGTCGCAACCACATCAACATCCGTGCAATCTGAGCCAGCAAATATTTCCACCACTTCTTCAGGAGAAACTCCTTCGACCACAAATTCTGATGCTTCACACTATACGACTGAAAGTTCCACAACAGTATCTCAAAAAGGTGAATTTTCAACCACAACCGAGCCTGTCGCAACCACATCAACATCCGTGCAATCTGAGCCAGCAAATATTTCCACCACTTCTTCAGGAGAAACTCCTTCGACCACAAATTCTGATGCTTCACACTATACGACTGAAAGTTCCACAACAGTATCTCAAATAGGTGAATTTTCAACCACAACCGAGCCTGTCGCAACCACATCAACATCCGTGCAATCTGAGCCAACAAATATTTCCACCACTTCTTCAGGAGAAACTCCTTCGACCACAAATTCTGATGCTTTACACTATACGACTGAAAGTTCCACAGGAGTATCTCAAATAGGTGAATTTGCAACCACAACCGAATCTGACGCAACCACATCAACATCCGTGCAATCTGAGCCAGCAAATATTTCCACCACTTCTTCAGGAGAAACTCCTTCGAACACAAATTCTGATGCTTCATACTATACGACTGAAAGTTCCACAAGAGTATCTCAAATGGTGAATTTTCACACAACCGAGTCTGCGCAACCACATCAACATCCGTCAATCTGACCACAATATTTCCACCACTTCTTCAGGAGAAACTCCTTCGACCAACAATTCTGATGCTTACACTATACGACTGAAAGTTCCACAGAGTATCTCAAATAGGTGAATTTCAACCACAACCGAATCTGACGCAACCACATCAACATCCGTGCAATCTGAGCCAACAATATTTCCACCACTTTTCAGGAGAAACTCCTTCGACCACAAATTCTGATGCTTACACTATACGACTGAAAGTTCCACAGAGTATCTCAAAATAGGTGAATTTCAACCACAACCGAATCTGACCAACCACATCAACATCCGTCAATCTGAGCCACAAATATTCCACCACTTCTTCAGGAGAAACTCCTTCGACCACAAATTCTGATGCTTACTATACGACTGAAAGTTCCACAAGAGTATCTCAAATAGGTGAATTTTCAACCACAACCGAATCTGACGCAACCACATCAACATCCGTGCAATCTGAGCCAACAAATATTTCCACCACTTCTTCAGGAGAAACTCCTTCGACCACAAATTCTGATGCTTTACACTATACGACTGAAAGTTCCACAGGAGTATCTCAAATAGGTGAATTTGCAACCACAACCGAATCTGACGCAACCACATCAACATCCGTACAATCTGAGCCAACAAATATTTCCACCACTTCTTCAGGAGAAACTCCTTCGACCACAAATTCTGATGCTTCACACTATACGACTGAAAGTTCCACAACAGTATCTCAAAAAGGTGAATTTTCAACCACAACGAACTGCGCAACCACATCAACATCCGTCAATCTGAGCCACAAATATTTCCACCACTTCTTCAGGAGAAACTCCTTCGACCACAAATTCTGATGCTTCACACTATACGACTGAAAGTTCCACAGGAGTATCTCAAATAGGTGAATTTGCAACCACAACCGAATCTGACGCAACCACATCAACATCCGTGCAATCTGAGCCAACAAATATTTCCACCACTTCTTCAGGAGAAACTCCTTCGACCACAAATTCTGATGCTTTACACTATACGACTGAAAGTTCCACAAAGTATCTCAAATAGTGAATTTGCAACCACAACCGATCTGACGCAACCACATCAACATCCGTCAATCTGAGCCACAAATTTTCCACCACTTCTTCAGGAGAAACTCCTTCGACCACAAATTCTGATGCTTCACACTATACGACTGAAAGTTCCACAAAGTATCTCAAAAGGTGAATTTTCAACCACAACCGAGCTGCGCACCAACACACATCCGTGCAATCTGAGCCAACAAATATTTCACCACTTCTTCAGGAGAAACTCCTTCGACCACAAATTCTGATGCTTCACACTATACGACTGAAAGTTCCACAAAGTATCTCAAAAGGTGAATTTTCAACCACAACCGAGTCTGCGCAACCACATCAACATCCGTGCAATCTGAGCCAGCAAATATTTCCACCACTTCTTCAGGAGAAACTCCTTCGACCACAAATTCTGATGCTTCACACTATACACTGAAAGTTCCACAAGTATCTCAAATAGGTGAATTTCACCACAACCGAGCCTGCGCACCACATCAACATCCGTGCAATCTGAGCCAACAAATATTTCACCACTTCTTCAGGAAAACTCCTTCAACCACAAATTCTGATGCTTCACACTATACGACTGAAAGTTCCACAAAGTATCTCAAAGGTGAATTTTCAACCAAACCCCGAGTCTACGCAACCCACATCAACATCCGTGCAATCTGAGCCAGCAAACATTTCCACCACTTCTTCAGGAGAAACTCCTTCGACCACAAATTCTGATGCTTCACACTATACGACTGAAAGTTCCACAAGAGTATCTCAAATAGGTGAATTTTCAACCACAACCGAATCTGAAGCAACCACATCAACATCCGTACAATCTGTGCCAACAAATATTTCCACTACTTCTTCTTGAGTTACTCCTTCAACCACAAATTCTGATGCTTCACACAATACGACTGAAAGTTCCACAAGAGTATCTCAAATAGGTGAATTTGAAACTACAACCGAATCTGACGGAACCACATCAACATCCGTACAATCTGAGCCAACAAATATTTCCACCACTTCTTCTGGCGAAACTCCTTCGACCACAAATTCTGATGCTTCACACTATACGACTGAAAGTTCCACAAGAGTATCTCAAATAGGTGAATTTTCCACCACAACCGAATCTGACGCAACCACTTCAACATCCTTAAAAGCTGAACCATCAAGCATATTCATCACTTTTTCCAGTGCCTTGTGAACTTTTCTTTAGGAACTGCGTCTACATGAATTCCCGTGTTATGTATGGTGGTGCTATGACTAATTTCTTAGTTCAGTCGTTGGTAAATAGCCAATTCCTCTAAACAGTTTACTATCTTAGCTATCTCTTCCATTCGTTATTATAGGCTAGTGAATTCGCGTAGCGTGTTATCTTTAGTGGCGGAAGTAATTTATAAGTTTTTAGTCGATTATTTGTGAACAATGGGGAAACAGCAGCAACAATGATGTATTTGTACTCGAAAGCTTTTAGCTATATAAATTATAGGTTTCTATGTTTGTATGGTATATACTCGTATATGTATTAAGATAAAGAAATTGCAAAATCTGCAAAAAAATAAATTTTGAAAAGACATCGGAATTTTATTGAGTATTTATGGATGTTGTAAAACAATTTTACAAAGGCAAAATAACCATTTTACCTATAAAATTGTGTACGTTCCCTTAATGTTTTCCAGTTATACATTAGCGGCCAATCTAAACGTACAGATTGATTAGACTCGACCATTAAACCAAAAGTACTTAAAGTGAATTATACTTAGTGAAAAATTGCAATTCGCAAAGCAACAATTAACAAGAGATCATTCCAGAAATTAATAGAAAATGTATAAGCTATCGATTATTCTACTAAGCCTTATAGCAGGCTCGGCTTTCGGTGCTTCAACAAACAATTTGTTACGGAGCACAGAGATCAACTTATTGCAATTGATGGTGGACACGCGAGCCGATCAACGCGCCAATCCTGAGCAAAGCTTGGCTTGCTTCGATTATTATCTTAAAGTGTTCGACGATCTCAACGAAGAGTACCGCCTAAGTTTTGCTGCCTGCTTGGACACAGCTGATGTTGAGAGGAGAAAGATCGACGCTGCCACACAACCTGAACGCGATGCCATTGAAAAGTCGGCAAATTCATCGTGTGAGGCTCTGAACGTTTGCGCAAACCTTGTTGGTTCTATCGAATATTTCAGTTGCTTTTCGAGTACTGTAAGTGGAGTCTGATCGCCGATGACTGGGGTAAAATATTGTTTAAAAGAATTATTATTTTTTAGGGTAAACGAAACACCGAAAGCATGTACGAGATTTCAGCAGATGCTGGCGAATCACTAGCAAATGTACGCGAAAGCTATCGCTTAATAGAAAATGCTGAACATCGCTGTACGAATGCATCTGAACGTGAATATGTGGAGAATACTTATAAGACTAATTTGGAATTACAAAGCTGTCTTAGAGGCGAAACGGCAGTACCGACGATCGTCGCTCCTACAGAAATACCTACGTCTACTCAGGACATAGCAACAGTGACAACTGAAGAGCCCGAAACAACAGCGGCATCAACAGAGTCAATTTCAGATACTCCTGAAACAACAGCGGCATCAACAGAGTCAATTTCAGATGCTCCTGAAACAGCAACAGAGGGTGATTTCATGCCAGAAGAAGACCTTTTTGCCATGAGGAAACTTCTTGCTAAACTTAAAAGTAGACTTGCATTGAGCAAATATTAAGGGCCTAATGCTTGAAACCCACTAATTAAAAATGCACCAAAATTTATGCTAATCCAAATGTCTACTTTGGCAGAAACACATTATTATATGGAAGATTGAGAAACCCTGTATTTGAAATTAATTAATATTAAATGTTACTTCGAGCACGAAGAAACCTTATTATGTAAAAATTCTATAAAAATAAATAAAAATTGTGAACGGGCAAATACAATAGTTATTTTATAAATTTATGTAAATCAATTATGAATACTTTGAACCGAATAGACAAAAGTCAGCGTATTGAAAACTGTCATCTTGTCCCTTAAAAATTCGAGCGCAAAGGTTTCAGAATGTATGGAGATGAAATCATGAATCTGTCAAGCTTTAGAAACGCGTACCAAATAACGGTACAAATACTCAAAAATATCATGCCTTATAAGTTTTTGACTTGCTGGCGAGCTACTTTTATAATAGAATTCTCATGTTTAGCATTTTTGAATGAAATATTTATTATTATGTCGATTGCTGGCGTAGATAAGCTCACGATTACTGATAAAAGTTCAATACACTTGATTTATTAGTTAGATATGAGGATTGGTTGTCAGTGCAAATTGTAGACACGCAAATATCAAGTTCAGCAATCCAATTTAATTACTCGGCTTTATTGCGTTAATTAAGCAGATAGTCAACATCAATATATGTTGAAACTAAAAAAAATATTAAAGTTTTTAGAAAGTGGTGTATTGTGCCATTAACCATATGTTAAGAATGAAGCGGGTATTAAGATTCTTTGAACGAGACATTTAATTGAAACCCATGTCAACAAAGGCTGTATTTCCTATTTCTTTATGTTTGTCTGAGAAATAGTACCGTGTTGAACAGACTTAACGGAAACTTTCGTTAAAAAAAAATTGTTCATTTGTCTACATTAATAGGTATTGTTGGCTTCAAAATAGTCCCCATTCGATATTATCCACTTATGCCAGCGCTTATTTCAATCGTCGAAACATTTATCAAACTTGATTTTTGGAATAACCTTTAGCTCTTTCAGAGAAGAACTTTTAAAGTCATCTACGAATATGCTTTTAAAATGACGGTCTGTTGCAGTTCTCTTTATTTTTGGAAATAGGAAAAAGCCACACAGAGCCATGTCTGCCGAACTGGAGGCAGGAACATCGTACATTATAGTTTTTGGCCAAGAATACACGAACAAGCAACTAGGTTTTGAAACCTAGGGCATATATTGTATATCAACATAATAAAAAACCAGTAAGAAAAGCCCAAGTTCGGGTGTAACGGAATATTTTATACTCTTGCAGCTTGCACTAACTTATATTGTAGGCCATAGACTCATTTACTTTTATTATTGCTATATTTTACTTCTCGCCAACGAAAATTATACTAAAAATTCGGGTCATAGGCATGAAATTAATTATTGACATTGTTCATGCATACTTGAGAACTTATTTTCAAAAAATTTTATAAATATATATTACAAAATCGTGAATATCAGTTATATGGCGTAAAACGTAAAAAATTTCCGCCCGATTTTACCCATTTTAGGCATAAAGATACACTGTCGAAAATCTTTATATTGTGTATATGGGAGCTAAGAGAAATATTGATTCGATTCAAACCATCTTTGATACAAGGGTGTAATATTGTCAAAGAAACATTTTCCCCGAACTTCAATAATATATCTCACAAAGTGATCGATATTTTCGCCGAAAAGTTAGCCATACGCATCGCGGTCCACATATACAAGTATGAGTGGCGCAAATCATTCACTGAAGCTCGTAAGTCATCGAAAGCTTGTCTAATGCAAGTCGTCCATCCATCTCCGTTAATAACGATGACGAGACGTGGGCTTATGAATATGATGTCGAAACTGTATAAAAATCAAGTGAACAGCGCTTCCAAAATTAGACGAAACCAAAAAAAAACTAAAATTCGCCGAACTGAAGGCCATTAGCTTTGCAATGCTTGTATTGGCTCAGGAGGCTACTTTTAAGGCAATAATAATGATTTGTATTAAAATACGTGGTTTTCATTTCGTCAGTTCAGTTCAAATTTGATCAGAAGATATATTATATAAGCATTTATGATCTCTTACAATTTGAGAGACATTGGAACCCGTCTAGCTAATTGTTCATATTTCAATATAGTACAAATTGTTATAATTCATTAAAACTTTTTTATATTAGACTTTTTGGCAAATTCCCAAAATATCGTACTTTGTACTAGATAAAAATTAATAAATATTTGCACTGGATCACGCTTTAAATAATCATCGCATTTAACGCTATCAATCCATCAGTTAAATACTCAATTCTTAGAAAGTTAGACTCGTATATGACTCAATTTGAAGGCATACTAATTGCTAATAAAGATAATAATTTTCTACGTATTCTGGTATTAATTTCATTGATACTACAATAAAATTAAACATTATTAATCATAAATATGTAGATGTGTACACGTAGAAAATTATTAAAATAAATTGAAGCAAGATTTAGTAAAAATTTTCATTAGATATATTTAAACTATTAGAATTTTAGAAAATTGCCTGTAAAAGTATTCACTAAAATATTCTTGAAACATAATATATTTTTGTTGCGAAAATTCGGACTGAAATATGCCGGTAAGTTTCATGATTTTAAAGCAAGTGCGTTGTGTGATGTATGTACATATAAAAATTATTTTCACATAACTTGGAGCAGCTTATTCGTGTTCCTTTCGGGGTACATAAAAAGTAAAAAAAAATAAGATTTAGTATGCTTTAGCGCTTCAGGAATACCCAATCCTAAAGAATACACAATTTTTATACTTATTTAAATTTGTATGTTCCCCGAAACCAAAACATTGCAGTACTGTGGTACCAACATACCAAACATGGGAATGCGCCTTATCAGCCATTTGTCAGCAGCCAAATCAATTGATAAGAAATTTCAAATTAAGTCGTAATGTTAATGTTACAATTTAACAATAATAATGTAATGATCACTTATGCATATACCCAGTGCACATTGCGGAATATAATTAATTTGAACTATTTGAGAAATATTTATGGGAGGTTATTTCTATTTCCCAATGTTGAAATTTACGGTGAAGTTTCAGATATGTGAAAACAACTACTGTTTTTAAGATTATCAACTACTGTTATCAATGAACGCAATTTATATATTTATGGTTGTTCCTAACCTTCGCATTGTGGATTGGTATTAAAAATAAGATTAAATCGGACAAATATAAATATAATCATAATGAGTAATGCAATATAATTATCAAATGTAAATCACCAAAATAGTTCGCACTCATATAAATACTCTTGAGCAGTGCTTTTGAAGATCAGTATAAGGTGCATAGCCAATTGCGACAGGTGTAAAGGAAACGGTGAACAGCGAGTGGAAGTTTAAAATTTTAAAGTGAAAATCAAAAACTTTAAATATTTTAAAAATTAATCAACACTAAAAATGATACTTGAAAGAATAAAAGTGTGCAAGATGACAGCAAAATCTCTACTCCCCTTGCTGATGGCAACAATTGTCAGCACTGCCTTGGCACAATCGCCTGTGGATTGGCAGCCGTTGCTTGACCAACAGAACTTGGTTTTACGCCAAGTGGTGCAGACATTGCAACTGACCCGTGGCGGACTCATCGGAGCTGAGGAAACCGATGCCTGTTTCGATTGGTATTTGAATAATCAGACTGCGATCAATGAAGTCTACTATAAGGATTACAACGACTGCAAGAATACGGCAACGGCAGCAAAGACATTGCTGTCGAAGCAAAGTGCTTTAGAACGTGAAGACCTTTTGGATGATGGTCACTCACTTTGCTCTGCTTTGGGTGCTTGTGAAAGTATCTCCGATAGTCTGGAATTCTTTCAGTGCTACAATAAGATGGTTAGTACTCTTAACTTGAGACACTATGCTATATCACATTATTAACATTAACGGTCGTTGTATGATTGATATTTGGTAATGAGAGTAAAATATCAGTGAAGAAGTTCTTATGAATTAAGGAAATAATTTTAGTAACAACATTAATTTGAAACAATTAAAAATGAAACAAATTACAAATTTAGCTAAAGTATCCTAGACAAAATATGGTATAAAAATATGAACTATAACTTTGATCTAAAGTCACCAGTACTCACATATGTATAGACATATTAAAAATTATTCTAAATATGAACATATTTTATATACTGATTTCCCCTCATCTCCCTTTTTATCTTAACAGTCTAGCAATAACAGTCCGCAATTGTTGAACATAACTGTCACATCGGAGCGCATAGCTGACAAATTGACAATTTCATATCGAGCCATTAATGACACCGAACGTGTATGTACTACTGAAGCCCGTGTTAAGAATGTGAATGACCTGAGTATCAGTAGAACGAATCTCAATAACTGTTTGAATGGTGATTGGAACCCCCCCCCGGGGGGCGCGAAAGTTCTGAAGCGTCCTATCAGTTAAGTGGAAGCCGAATGCTACTCAAGCAGGACATATTTCATTCTGAGCAATAGCTCGCATGTCAGAGAGGAAAGCAATAGACGCATGAGTTGGAGCAAAGATAATATTACTTACTAAGAGTAATTTATAATTTATAAATATATAAAATCAAAAAAAATTTATAACAATAACACAGAAATAATATTCTGGCGCTTTATTTTAAACTTATTTGCCAATACGTATTTAGAAAAGTATGTAAGATATATATACGGCTTTAGAAGATTAAGAAATTTTATAAGAATTATAAAAGGAAATATTTTTTTTTAAAGATTATAGGTATTATAAAGTCTAATTAGGTGGCTCAAAGTTGAAATAAACTTCCAGAGTTATCATTCCCGAAATTTAGTACATATAATATCACTGGAAGTTTGTGAAAACAAGAAAAAAATCAACTTCGTCAATTTCGGCTGCACCGCAACGTTTGACGACATTTTTTCATCTTAGAAATGTTCACTACATTGTTACAATACCTTTAAGCAGTTTTATAAACACAGAAATGTGATAGTAATGGACATAGGCTCCCCCATGGTCAAATGTCAAAATCTGCCTATAAAGTTTTGACCTCAGATAGGATACAACAATCGACCCTGCAGCAGTTACCTCTATCAACGCTTTTAAATATCAACTGAAAGCATGAAAATTATAATGAGCAAAAGATAGCGATTAAGTTACTGAGTAACCAAAGGTATTGGGATTTTTTTAAAGACTCTCGAATTCAAGTTTGTGGAGAGTTTTTTTTGTTTTATAGAAAACATTAAACTCGTAATTGGTGTAAATCGAGAGTGACAAAATAGCCAAATAGTAAATATTTTCTGGCATTAGTGCTGAACATACTCACTCTGAGTACCCCTTTGACAAAAAAAATTTCGGACAAACGGTTTTAACATATATCAAGGTTATAACAGTACCAGTTTTAGAGATAATATATGAATATGAGTAAGAGATTTATTGTTATTTTTATTACAACTGAATAAGGCAAATATTCGGACAATATTTTAATTGAAGTTAAGTACCATATAAATTGTTTTATGCGAATTTGGAAAGAGTAAACTAATAATTTTGTGTAGTTGTTGTTGGATCCGGAGATATTTGCGTTGTTAACGTTGTTAATGTTGTTGTATGAATTGGAGTTGATGTGGATGCAGTGGGACTTGTAGTTGTTGTTGGTACATCAGATTCACCATTTAGGCAACTTTGTAAACTGTTATAGATGACGTTGTTGTTTCCATCGTATTTGCGTTTCGCATCGATCAGACAACCATTCTCCTGATAATCAGAGTCGCTGTAAGCGTGCTTCACCTCAGCCAGCGTATCAGAGGCACTTGCGGAAACATTTGCCATAGTATGCTGATTTGTAGTACTCTATGGGAGAAGCGAAGATGCACTTGTATTTTATAAATTTCTTTTTAGAAATATCTTTACTTACCGCCAACTCGAAGCACTTAAAGTAATCAATGGAGTCCTTATTTGGTACACAGTTTTCTAGCAGCTTGCAGGCATGCGCGCTCGATTCTTCGATTTCATCTCGCTGCTTATATGTTGACTCGTCAATTTTTTTGCGTCTATCCTCGGCACTCCACAAGCATTGTGAATAATCCTTTTCATATTCATCATAGCAATCGGAGAGTTTCGGCAAATAGTAAGCGAAGCATTCATTGGAACGCTTCGGATCACTTTGCTGGAGGTTGCGCGTGTTCAGCAGGAAATCGATCAAAGTTTGATCGGTGTTGATTTCGTGTATTCTGTTGCGGTAGCGTGCTAGGTTCGCATGCGCTTGCATAGCGATGAAAAGGACGCTGAGTAGAGTGAATTCCAACGCACGTGCCATATTTTGTGAACTTAGTTCTTCGATGGTCCTGAATTTTTTGAGTATTAAAAAATAATTATTTTTACTTTAAATTGCTTTGGTGCACCTTGTTTGCTGCTGCACTAAAAAATTTGACTGTGACACTCACTGAGGCATTGTAACATTTTATAATTTACTGTCAGCTCCCAGAGAACATTGTGATACCGCGCTAAGAATTGAAGAAATTTTTGAACATCTGATTTTTTTTTTGGTTTTTCATATTTCGCTGATATTTTTAATTTCTTTGCCGGCAATCTCGCTTATCGCTCCACGGGTATCTTTTACAGTACGGCAATGTGTGTGTGTTCATTCGATATAACTTCTGATTTGCAAGAAGAAAAAACAAAAATCGAACTGTGTTTACCGGTCATTAGCAGTTGCGATAATTAGTAATTCAACACATCATTTTTATCATGAGTCGGTGTTATATACTTATTATAAACGAAAACTTGAGTTTACCATTAAAAATTAGTTATCAGTAAACGAAAGGTGAAAGACATTATTTGAGAAATTTTGCAATGAGCATATATCAATGTCAATCAATTCCAACAGGAGTTAGAAGCTGCTGACCCGCAGGTTATTGTGCTTTTAGATATGATAAAGAATCTTCTTCTCAATGTACTCTACACAGTTTGCACCACTGATTATTAATATGACAACAAAAAAAAAATATTTTCTAAATAAATATTCTTTCTAGAGCTAAAGAATTTCCTAAAAGTAAGCTCTTTTTACGGGTCTTTTCCAAGTTTTGGCGCTGGTCAAGGTCTAATCAATTTGTTGATTGGCTTAACAATAAAGCCGTCGAAGGTGATGGTATCTGCTATGGTAAGCGATTATGCAACTTACCTCTTTGGTTCCCTATATCAATATAAATTTTCCTCCTAAATTCCAACAGGGACGTTGCAACAAGCCACAAAGTAGGCTTGTCAAATAGGCACCTGTGTTAAATGACTTGAATCCATTAGCGAGTTTGGCCTTTTGATTAATTTTTTCATGATCAATCGGGGCTTTTCCGGTTTACTCATTTATTTCCGAACTGATCTAATCTCTTGTTGGAATCTAGTATAACATCGCAAAAATCATGATTTATTGTGCTCATATTTCATCGTGTAATATACATATATATTGTAATTGGAGAATTAGCACCACCGCTGTACTAGACACCTACATACACATGTATGTATGTATATATATTCATATTTTTTTCGAAAGGAAACATATGGTATCGGTTTATTTTCTGACTCCGAGTTTTAAATAGTATTTGCTTCGCTGAGATTTTCTGTGGTTGATTGAGTCACAAAAATATATTCGCTAATTCATTGGATTTGTAGTTAACATGTTTCCATACAAAGGAGCCCTTATTGAACGCGAAATTGAGGTTCAGTTTCGGTTGAAGTATTATTCGATGAAATGGTTACATAGGCTTTAATTTCGACTGATCTTGAATTTTCGGACTCATACTAGATAAGTTAATGAGACACTAATATGCGATTGAGAACAAAATAATTGGTAGAAATTTAGGGACTAATATTTCTACTTATCTAATTTTGATATAATTTGAACTTGCAGCAGTAAAGACAGAAATAAATTTTCATCAAAGCCTAAAACCGAAAGTAAGTCAAATGGTAAATAAAAGATGTCGCTGCAGCTACTTAAATGCACTCAACTAATTGTGTTTAGGAAAGTTGCTCAAAAACTTGCTCAGTGAGTAATTAGCTTTCCAGTGGCGCGTATCAGTAACTCAATTCATATCGTTTATATTTGCCTTTATACATATATATGTCGACATACGTATAAAGGCATGTTTTTAAGTGTTAACTCTCTTATCAGTGTTATAAAGTTAATGAAAACGTGAAATAAATAAAAAATTACGTGGATTTATGGATATTCTCTCTTCTTCTTGGAAACAATATTTTTTATGGCAGATCAGTTGTCTTTAAACTAATTCTTATACGTTGGTATATGGTAGCCTTATCATTTTAGTTGGTTATATCAAACCCTGATCTCATAAACTTGTAATAGTAAATTTCATGTGCAGGTGCACATTGATCAATAATATGAGGAGATGCCTGACCAACGATTTAATTAAGATGTGAAAAATTTAAGCTCAATAAGTTTCGTTTGGGTTAAAATGCATTGCGTTAAGTTTTATTGTGGTATAATAGGGTAAGTTTAGAAGGTTGACATTAACATTTGTAAGATTCCAACAGCTAAGGCTAAATCTGATGATATTTTGTTTTATAAATAATATTTTTTCCAGAGATCGTTCCACGAAAGAGCCTAAATAATTTACATATATTATTGATTATTATTTTTATACTCTTGCAACATGTTGCTACATAGTTAAACAGTTTTGTTTACCTAACGGTTGTTTGTATCACCTAAAAATAATCGAGCTAGATATAGGTTTATATATAAATGATCAGGATGACGAGACGAATTGAATTCCAAGTGACTGCCTGCCTGTCCATCCGTCCATCTGTTCGTCCGTCCATTTGCGCAAGCGATAACTTTAGTAAAAATTAAAATATCTTGACGAAACTTGATACATACGTTTCTTGGTAAAAAAGTAAGGACGAGTTCGTAGATGGTTGTAATCGGACCACTTCCACGCCCACAAAACGCCAATAATCGAAAACATATAAAGCGCCATAACTTAGTCATAAATTAAGATACAAATCATGGGTACCTGTGGTTTGAAAATCTTTAAAAATTGGCCGTGGCGCTGCCCTCTAATAAGTTTTATATATATACTATCTTTCTAACTAATCAGATGATAAACCCGCTCACTCCCCATATAACGGTGCTATAAATCACTAACTAATTGCATAAGAAACGATAAATTTTATATTCAAGATGGGTGTAAACCCATATCTTGGGATCTGCTTAATCGATTTCAACCAAATTTGGTACAAAATATTCTTCTTATATTTCTATATTATAGTGCGAAAAAGGGCGAAATCGGATTACAATCACGCCTAATTCCTATATAACACCATTTTCAATTCCATCTGATTTTTTCACTTTCCACTATGCATATCAAGCAACAATGATTATATCGGGGTGACCAAAATTTATCTAAATTGAACCAACCTGTTCAAGCCTCTAGGTACTGAATATGTGGACCCCCCAGTGCCAATAGTTGACTTTTTACCGAAAATATCGGTCATTGTGTGGGATATATATAGGCAATTCACAAGCTTCGTCTTATGTCGTATATCAATAGGTTAAAAAATACGAAACTTGTGAGCCCCCCTTAATTGTTGTATGTTATATTATGTAATATTCTACACTTCACCAGTTGGTAATAAAAAATTAAGAATACAAAATTTCCACGGGAAAGTGACAAAAAGAACATTAAAGCTTCTTTATATTGAAACAACGGCATTTTGGTTCACATTGCAACCACAGAGACAACAAAATATTTTTATATTTTACTTTTCTTCAACTTCATTTACTTGAATATCGTGGCTTCGTTCCATATTAATAAAGAAATTGATGAAATTCATTTAATTGATTAATTTTAGACACTTAACGTCAACAATAAAAAAACAAAATACAGCTGATAGAATAGCACATTCAAAAAACATACCTCGCCGTGTTGTATTTGTCGTATTTCAATTTTGTATGTGAAACAACAACAGTGTTGATATGACAGTCATAAAAATATAAGATAATACGACGATATGACATAATATGACACCTTGTAAATACCCTAATAATTGAAACTCATAGAGGATTCTTTTCTAATGATAGTATTCTTGTATGTCAATACTTCCTTAAGCCGCCATGTACCTAATATATATAATATAAAGATTTTTGAACTTCCGGATGACTTTATACCGCATATATCGGCCATTATGTGAGTTATCTCAATGAAAATGAAAGAGCGTGTTTTAATCATAACAGTGTATCTTTTTGTCTAAAATGAATAAAATTGGGCGAAAACTTGACCTAGCCCCATATAACCAATATCTGGATATTCGAACATTCGGCTGACTTTGCTCCATATGAGTTACAAATAGTAACTAGCAGTTCAATGTTACCATCTTTTTACTTTTCATCATCTGTAATTAATTTATTAACTGCTATTACTTTTACTAATTAAAAAACAAAAGAAACAACCAAGCATTTATGACCTTATTTACATGTTGAATTATTTTTATTTGCTATTTTGTGTTTCTAGTAATGGAAAAATGTTCAGGCATCAAACTGAATCACTGTTTTGATCTTGATGTGTATGCATACATATGTATTAAGGTTAAACAAAAGAAATTAATCTATAGCAGTTATGGGTAAAAATCAACCTACATATATGCAGAGAAAACAATATCTTTGAGTTAGATTTTTTAGGATATTTTACGTTCCACAAAAATCCGCTATTGAAATATTTTTATCCTAAACGGTTCAAAAGTTATGATACTTTTAATGAAACACGTATTTTTATTATGTGTTATCTAAATAGGAAATGTTGAATTCCACCGACGCCTTTTAAAATTATGCTCAAAGTCCTGCTTTGCACCGATTTTTTTTCTCTGCCTAAAAGTTTATTTTAACTCTTTAATACGACATGCTATTTTTTTTTGGCTCACCCTAATACATATAAGTATATGGAGAAATATTTGTAGGTTCCATTCATGGAAATTTAATTACGAGACAACACTTTATAGTTGTTGTTTTTGAGTATAGGAAATAATAACAAATTAAGGTGAGTATTATTATTGGTACTCTTGGACATAACAAGTTAGATAGTGGGTGCTTAAAAACACTATCAAATAGTTTGCCTACGATTGTGTGTATGCCATATATTTGCCTAGATATAACAAGTGTTGCATATTTTCTAGGAACTGCAAACTTAACGACCACTAAGATGATAAGTAGAAGGAAGTCATTATAAATTAAGTACACTTTATAAATTAAAATTTTTTCTTACTTTATTTTTCTGGAAATACAAAATAAGTAGAGTAGAATAAATGTTTTTATATGCCAGATTCCGTGAAGATATTTTTTCTAATAAAAAAGCTTTCCATACAAGCACTTGATTTCTATCGTTCAATTTGTATGTCAGTTATATGCTATAGTGAACCGATATCGGCGGTTCTGAGAG